GTTATCACACCTTCTCTTTAACCAGCAGAGGTGTGAGGTCACAGTCAAGCAACCTAAGCCCTGAACAGTAACATCCCTTCTGTCAGTTTTCAGTTTGTCTTCAAATAGGGCTGTGCTCCTTAGGTGAAAAAGATCTGAGCCCAGTTCAGGACCCACCACCCTCCCTGGACCTCTGCTCTGTGCTTACTTTTTCCATGAGATGCAGCATCAGGCTGATACCCCCCCCCCCCCGCCGGAACCCATGCGTGTCACTTCATCCTGGGCCTTGGATATTCCTACCTGGGAAATGAGAGGAGGGGACATGGTGTCCCCTAGGTGCTGTTGAAGTTGATATGTGGGGGCATCAAGGGCTGGTATTCTGAATGCAGATACTTCATGTCTGGAATTGTCTCCGCAGTATGTGGCAGGACCAGATTTACAGGGAAGATCTTTGGTGGTCAGAATGCAGAACCTGAACAGTGGCCATGGCAGGCCAGTGTATTTCTCAATGGCACATATGTCTGTGGAGCTGCCCTCATTGACAGCAACTGGGTGGCCTCTGCAGCCCACTGCTTCCAAAGGTGCAATTTCCCTCTGTGGGGCCCCAGCCATTAGGAAGGGACTGCAGGAGGGAGGCACAAGGTGGGCAGGATAGAAGAGACTTTCCTATTTAGGCTTTATTCTAGGATAGTTTGCTGCCATCAGATGTCCCTGTGCTGTTGCTCTGCCTTTGGCCCAATGTGCCCTCTACCTGGAATGCCATCCCTGCTTGTTTGTGGGCATCTTTCAGGCAGAGGCCTTGGACTTCATCTTACACCCTAAGGATGCCCTGCACTCCCCACCCCCACTTCCACTTTGGTAAACCCACCAAGATGATGTAGTTGTCACCATGACATGCACATTGCTTTTATTTTTATTTTTTTAAATATATTTTTAATTGTAGATGGACATGATATTTATTTACTTATGTGGTGCTGAGGGTTGAACCCAGGGCCTCACGCGCGCAAGGCAAGTGCTCTACCACTGAGCTACAACCCGGCCCACATGTTACTTTTAAATAGCTAACTAGAAATTAATTCACTCTGGTTGTGATTACCAATAAATACTGGAAATTAGACTTGAGTTCAAAAATGACCACCCCTACTCTTTATTTTCCATAAACACTAGGGATAAAAATCTCATCCCTCTCAGGATGGACTTTGTAGTCTGTGTCCTACCCACCCCTAGACAGTGTCTGCAGATGTCATCAGACCTTAGTTAACTCTTGTGCAAATGGTAGTGACTGTGAACTTATCCCTGGCCACACGTGTAGAACAGGTCCACGTGTTAGAATGCTAGTCCCAGGTCCCTGTTTCCCAGGGCAGGTGGATTGGGGTTAGCCCACATAGACAGATGTCTTGCCTCCTCTAGCCAGGGCTCTCCATAAGCTATTCAGGGCACACCTTCTGTGGAGTCTTTCGCCCAGGTCCTAGCAACCTGCACATTCCACTACATTCCTCTCTGGAGTTGTCCTGGGACCCTGTTTAACCAACACCAGGGGTTCCTGCTGCTCCTGTAGTGATATGTACCTAGGAAGAGCTGAGGGTAGTATAAGGCATAAGTAAATAGTTTCTGCCCTGAGAGAGTGAGGCAGGTCATCAGGAGGCTGACTCACTCTGTGACCAGAGAGAAAAAGGAGGACACCACAGTTCATCCCAGAAGTCAGAGCTGTAGGAGTAGCTGACTGTGAGATCCCAACTGGGTTCCATTCTTATATTCAGCACCTAGGAGTACCAAGCCCACATGGGAGATGTGGAGATGCAAGACCCACCTTGAAAGTGAGACACAAGCCCAACTTCCACATTAGACCCTAAGGACATGTCAGGGGGGGGGCACCATGGTTCCATCCAGTGTGAAAGCATGGAACTGGAGGGTCTTTTGGAGAGAAGGATCCAGGCATGAGGAGTCTGGGTAGGGGCACCACACAAGTGTGTCATGTGGGCTGGAAGGTCACTGGGGTTTCAAAAACAAGAAGTTTCCATGTATTCCTCCTTTTCCTTCACTACGACTTGTCGAGTGCCTGTGCCCAGGTTGGAGCCAGCCAGCTTGTAGAGAGGATGATGTGAGGATTGGAGGGAGGGGTCATGCTGGCCTAGGAAGTGGGGACTTTGAGAAGTCTGTTGGGCCATAAGAGGGTTTGATCAGGGATGAATATGCGACACATCTCTTCCCCTCCAAGATGAAGGAGCGCAACTTGATGTACCCTATATGTTTCTTTCTAGCAATAAGGTCCTCTGCTCCTTGGATTCTGGGGCATGCTGGAAAAGCCATTAGAAGCCTTCAAAGGACTAATATCCTAGGGCTGTGGGCAGAATCAAACTTACCTCAAGAGAAGGGCTATCCCGGTATTAGAAAAGGAGGCCAGAGAAACTTCTGAAATGATGGGGTGAGGCTGGTTGTCTGCCAGGTGGGTGGACAGTCGGAGCCAGGGTGCCCGTGCAGCACTCAGAGCATCTGCCTCCCGACAGGTCCCAGAACCCAGATGACTACTGGATCCTGCTAGGGTACAACCGGATGACCGATCCCAGTAACTACAGCATGCAGATGGCAGTGAGCCAGCTCATTGTCCACCCAGACTTCGACAAGCATCACTTTTTAGGGAGTGACATCACCTTGATGAAGCTGCACGTGCCTGTGAATTTCAACTCCCACGTCCTGCCTGCCTGTCTCCCTGAGAGCTCCACAAAGCCGGACCCTAAGAGTTCCTGCTGGATAAGTGGCTGGGGGATGACAGTTGATGAAACTGATCATGCAGGCAAGCAAAAGAGGGCAAGGGGTGGGGAGACCATTGTAGGCTCTTCCTGTCCTTCTAAAACTTCACAGATTCCTCAGTCTACTGTGAAAACAAAACAAAACAAAACAAACGAAAAAACAAGAAGGAAAACAAAAAAAACCTCTTGCTTTCAGAATCAGAAACTTGAGCTCTTTGACTCCAGAGCCATTCTCATTTCCAGGGCTCTGAACAGCCAGACTCCAAGGTTCTGATTTATCTTTCATGGCTATGGAAAGTGTTGAGTATCCATAAGAAAAGGACCTGTATCTGGCTAAGACCAGCTGGGGCATTTATGGCTGAAGGACATTTACCTCTCTGAACCTCACTGCTCATCGTTGAGTGCAAGCAAAACTTGCCTATTCTGCCAGTTTCCTCAGGTTCCACATCTGTGGACTCAAACAATGGTGGATCCAAATCATTGATGGGCCAGCCACGGTGGCCCATGCCTATAATCTCAGTGGCTCAGAAGGCTAAAACAGGAGAATCATGAGTTCAAAACCAACTTCAGCAATTTAGTGAAACCCAGTCTCTAAATAAAAATTTAAAAGAGGCTAGGGTATGGCTCAAATACTCCTGGTTTCAATCCCCCCTACACACACACACACACACACACACACACACACACAAAATGGTGGGAGAAGAATGGGGGTTAGGTAATATGTATTTTCATTATTCTATAAACAATATAGTATAACAACTGTTTACATAGAACTTACATTGTGTTAGGTATTACAAATAATCTAGGGATGATTTAGAGCATAACAAAGTATTAGTTCTATGCATATACTATACCTTTTTTTAATAAAGGACTTGAGCATTTGAAATTTTGGTATGGGGTCCCTGCAGATATGAAGGACGACTGTGTAGAGTTTTTTCTTGTTGTTGTTGTTTTGTTTTTTGTTTTTTGGTACTGGGGATTGAACTCAGGGACTCCTGGAACACTGAACTACATGTCTAGCCCTATTTTGTATTTTATTTAGAGATAGGGTCTCACTGAGTTGCTTAGTGCCTCGCCATTGCTGAGGCTGCCTTTGAACTTGCAATCCTCTTGCCTTAGCCTCCCGAGCCGCTGGGATTGCAGGCATGCACCACCATGCTCGGCTGACTGTGTAGTTTTAGGTTGAGAGGGAGAATGTCAAGCAAAGATTTTTACATGCTTTTGATCTAGGAAAATATACTGGTGAGTGAAAAAAAAAAAGCAAAATGTAAATTTGGCGTGATTCATGGGGTTACTATCTGGAAGAACATCTCTGCATAGGCTTTGGAGACAGGAACTTCTTTGAGGTTGAGGTCAGAATCATCATCCCTGGTCTTGGTCTCAAATGTCAATCATGAGAATAGCTAACACTTCAACATTTCCAAGGTCCCCCTGCTGGGATGTATTGTCGCTTTCCAAGAACCACTCGCAAGGCAAGGAGGATCTCCAAAATGGGTCTAGATAATAGTTGGAGCACGAAGGGAAGTCATGGGCTGGGGCAACCACGAGGGCACAGAGTAGCTGACATCAGTGGGCCCTCAGTGTCCTTTCTTCAGGCCCTCGCCTGACCACAGTTGCTTGGCCTGAACTCAGGTCTGGGATTTGCCACCCATCAGGGCCTTAGATAGCAAGCACTGTGCCATGTAAGCCATCATCCTAGCATTGTGCTCCTAAGTGGGGACCCCAGGCCACATGTGTGAGTGACAACTGGAAATAGAATCCAGTTGTCCAAGTCCACTTGCTCCTTGAGATGGGGCCGGTCTTATTGGCACCCGTGAAACATGCCACTGCTGCATCTTAGTCAGACTGAGAGTCCCAGTTCCCATCTTTGCTGCCTCCAGTACTGTCTCCACAGCAGCCAGAAGAATTGTTTCTGAAACATAAGTAAATGTTTCTATTATTTTGAAGTGTGCTTGGGATAAAATCCCAATTCCACAGACTGGTGAGGAAGACGCTGCCTGTTCTGGGCCCTGCTATGATTGTGTCTCATCTTTTCAAGTCCCTGCTCTTGGGCCTTTGCAGTCACACTGACCTCTGTCCTGGTCCTTTCCACACAGACCCCTTACCACAGCTCTTGAGAACACCTTTTCTCCTGGTCTTGCCTTCAACTGGGAGGCCTTCCCAGCCCCTGCCAGCTAGAGTGGGCACCCTCCATCAGCAAGCAGGCAGGAGAGGGAGTTGGCTTTGCCCTGGGCTGCACCTCACATCTGAATCCTCTCCCACAGAATCACTGCCACCTGCTATAACGCTTCAGGAGGCAGAGGTCAGTCTCTTAGACAATGAGGACTGTAACGCCTATTATAGATATTCAGACCCCAACGCAACTGGCTCAAAATCTGTTGGTGTATTTGACGACATGGTGTGTGCTGGGGACCCCATGAATGGAACATCCATCTGCCGGGTAAGTGAACCAACTCATAGTCTCCAGCTGGACTCAGCCACCTCTCTGCTGCTGTGTTCCCTCCCCCTGGGTCTTCTTTGTACCTAGAGCCCCTAAAGAGCACCGTTAATATCCCATCCATTTTCTTTGTATCTTTTTAAAAATGTTGTCAAAGTGTAGCATGGAGAAAAGAGGAGATATAACTTGAACAGCTTGATGAATTTTTAGAAAGGGATATATTCATATAGCAGCACCCACAGGGTCCCACTCATTGCCCCTTCCTGTCATTAACTCCTCCAGAATAGCCCCCTCCTAGTTTATAAGGTGCTATGGCTTTGTTCTTAAACTTAACCTGAATGCAAATCAGATGTGATGAGGGCTTTTGCCTGGTCTCTTTTAGTCACTAATATGCTAATGACATTTATCCATTCCACTGTGTAAGCACACATATCTACTTATCCCTTCTCGTATTGGTGGAATTGGGGGCAGTTTCCATTTGGGCTCTCTGTGAATGTCATTGCTGTGAACATCCTGTGTGTGTGAGCTTTAGGTCCCCATTTTGATTGGAGATCACCCTGGTAGTGGATTGTTATTTCATGATTGTGTCCATTTATACTCCCATCAGCAGTGACTGAGAGTTCAATTTGCTGCACGTTGCTTGCCAGTACTCTGGATCATCCACTGTTTTCATTTTAACCACTGTATGTGATTTTTGATCTGCACCTGATAACTAATGAAGATAAATATTCTTATATGTCTATTACAAACTATTTTTCATATATTATTGCCTTTTTGTGAAGTGTGGGGGTCATCTGTCGTTTGTATTGAATCATAGGATCTCTTTATATATATTGTGGATATGGGTCCATCATTGGATGCACATATTATGAATGTTTTCTCTGTGTAAACTTTCCATTTTATAGTGAGGAAATTAAAGAGAGGACGTGGACAGCACTCTAAGGATGCATGGCCATTAAGTTAAGCTTGGAGAGTCTCTGACCCCCTTGAGAGTTGTGTTCCCCCCACTCCTGCAGCCTCCCCTCCCTCTCTTGTGCTTTCCCTCTTGCTCTTGCTCTTTCCTGGCTGGCCCTGCAGCTCAGAAGTATTCCTCACATGCTCACTTCCTGACCCCACAACCTCCTCCTGTTACTCAGTCCTCACTTCTGTCTGTCACACGCTGCAAGAGGGCCCCTCCTGTCTCCCCTGCACTCTTCACCCCTCCTCTGGACACCAGGACCCAACCTTTTCTCAATGGTCAGCCTGCTGCTCTTGCCTTGCATTTGAACCTGGATGAAGAGGGGATCAGACATGGAAAATCCTGTGTGCTGACCATTTCCCACCAGACACTGCCCCCCTCCTTTCTTCCACAGCTGTATCCTGAAGAGTTCCAGAGCCCTGCTGCTGGTCTGGCCCCAGCAGCCCCAGAACATCCTTTCAGAATCTGCACACAGTCCCTTCACCTCCCTGCTGAGAATTTCCGTGTCCTTGCCTGTCTCTCACCACACTCAGGCCTCACTGCTCCTCCAGTCTCCTCAGAGAAGCTCTCTGATGGTCCAGTTAGTATAGACCTTCTGGGACTCTTCCTGTTGCCTGTGTGGCCCCCTTTCCACATGTTATATGTGCAGGTGTGTGGACATGTGGTCTTGTCACATCAAGCACCGCTTGCATAGAGACTCCCCAGGGGGTATTATTCAACAGACAGCTGGAAGGCAATATGTTTCTTTGAGCTCCTGTTTTTGGCTTGTGAGATAAAGCCATTTCACCTGTGATTTTAAAAAGGGACCTTCCCTTCTGGGGCCCTGCCATATTTAACATTACCGAGCATTCTTCTGAAGACCCTGGAACTCTGTGTGTTTCCAACTGAGCCCCAGACCGGGCCAAGCAGCACCTCTTTTACCCTTAGCACATTCAACAGCTTGGCATTTTCTAAAGAAGCTCAGTTAAGGAAATGAAGATATGCTAGAGACCTATTAAGTCAAAGACAAAGGCATAGATGCCTTGCTGGACAGAGGATTTAACCAAAGTCCCTGGGCCAGGCCTCCAGGCCAGCCACCCAGCCACCCCATGGACCTCAAAGCCATCTCCCATGTGGATGAAAAGGTGGAGGGCACACTGTGGCTCCTAGCATCCCCCAGTGCTTCTCATAGGTCTGTGACTGTCAGCTGTGGAATGGGTCTCTAGGGTCCTGGCCTGGAGATATTGATCCAGGAGGTTTATCCTGTACCCGGATTTTATTTATTTATTTGGGTACTAGAGATTGAACTCAGAGACACTTGACCACTGAGCCACACCCCTAGCCCTATTTTGTATTTTATTTTGAGATAGGGTCTGACTGAGTTGCTTAGCACCTCACCATTTGTGAGGCTGGCTTTGAACTTGTGATCCTCCTGTCTCAGCCTCCTGAACCACTGGGATTACAGGCGTGCACTACTGCGCCCGGCCATCTGTACCTGGATTTTAAAAAATTACCTCTGTGGTTCTGATGAACATGACTCTGAAGATGTTTCTTAATGGTAGAGCTCCTCCGAGTTTAATCTCTAGTACCGAAAAAAAAAAAAAAAGAAAAGAAAAATTATCAGGGTGTGGTTGGGTGTACGGGCATGAGAAAGCCCAGAGCAGGATCCTGGGATAAGCAGCAGCAACAGAGATTTTTGTCACTCCTAGGCTCTCAGGAACAAGAAAAGGGAGAGCCTTGGAGAGAAGGGTCCTTTGGAGTTGCAAAGACAGCCAGGAGACCTCTCGTGTCCACCTTGTCCTCTTCATACTGGGTAATGCATATTTCTGCCTGTCTTGGTCCTACTACCCATGTCCTTTGTCTTTCTCCTCAGGGAGATTCTGGGGGTCCCCTTGTCTGCCCGCTGGGCGGTGTTTGGTACCTGTTTGGACTGACCAGCTGGAGCGCAGAATGCCGTTTTCCCGTTGGTCCCAGTGTCTTCACCAATCTCAGCTACTTCGCTGACTGGATCAAGCAGCACCAGAAGGAGGCTCCCACCCCCAGCAGCATCATGGCCTCATCTACACAAAAGCAGCCTGCTCTGAGCCCTGTCCTGAAGCCCAGGATGACTGTGCTGCTGTCTGCTCAGTTCCTCCTGCTGTGGCTGAGTTTGGTCAGTGCTCAGTGACAGGCTCCCAGCATGTCCACGCCCAGCTTTCCTCCACAAGGCCCCTGGCTGAGCTCTGCACTGTCCTTCCATGCTTCCATCTCTGGGCTGTCCTGTCCATCTAAGGCCCAGGCCTGATGAAATAAAAACAACCCAAGGAACTTCTGGCTCCTGTTTTGAACCTGTCAGTGCCATACCTCATGCCCTGCTGGGCTTCAAGGTACTTAGTGGTAGAGGGCCTCACTCCTCCCTAGGAAGGGACAGCTGAGGGGACACCCAGGGGACTGGGCTGGCCATATGTGAGTTTTGTCACTGTCTTCAGGCCCCAGTCTTGCCCTCAAGGGTATGTGGTTTTCTAGAAGGAGCCACAGTGCAGGGGTTGGAACCCCAGTATGTGGGGGAAGTTCTCATGATCCTGGAGCTGGATGATTTGCCCCGGTTGAGTATGAGCAAGTGTCTTCCAGGCCCACAGGTCACGGAGGCTCTTCTGGAGAAGTTTCAAGTAAAAGGCAAAGGGCCCTGAGATCTGTGTCTTGGGTCAGCAATCTTGGGAGCCCTGTTGCCCCTGTACCCACCACCTCCCCTCCCCATATCTCCATCAGCCTGGGCCCCAGTGCCTGTGGGCTTGCTTCAGCTTGTGTGTTTGAGGCTTAGAAGGCCCAGGACTTGCTGGCCTAGCACTCAGCTGGCCCCTGGAGCACTGGCCACCCACAGTTCCCATTGCCACTTATCTTCCACCCAGGGTGGCTCATGCCGCCTGGCCTGGTGTTCACCCACACGCAAACTTCAGCCTTGTCCCTTAACAGGCATGTTCCCGTGGGAAGCTTGGGGTTATCTGATTGCCCAAGTCCCTCAGGCCTCCTCTAACAGTGCAGGCAGGCTCCCACACCTAGTGTTCTCTGCAGACCTACTGGATCACAGCTTTAGCCCCACTCCCCGCTACCTGGGATCCACCTCAGCACTCACTTCTATTAGCCAGGTGCAATCTATTTTTACAGATCTGGATGGTTCAGTTACTTGTCTGAGGTCATGTAGGTAGTAACCTGAGGAGGATTTCACACCAAGATCTGGAGAAAGACCACAAGAGTTTGTTCTTCCCACTAGAGGCCACAGGCCCTGTCTGACTTTTCCTTGGAGGCCACATTTTAGAGGAATCAGCTGCCCTGCCCCACTGTGGTTGGTTGAAAGGGAGGTTCCCAGCGTGGAGAACACATCTTCAGGACTGGTGAGCCAGGGTCTAGGGGTATCCCTTGCATGACTTTCACCAAAGGTATGGACTTTGTAGAGAGTACACTTAAGTTGGTATATTTTCAGAGTGCTTATTTACTGAAGAACCAATGTTTGTCTGGATGCAGTGACACATGCTTATAATCCCTGCAACATGGGAGACTGGGACAGGAGATCACAAGTTAGAGCCTACACTGCACAATTTAGGAGACCCTTCTCAAAATAAAAAATAAAAAGGTCTGGAGATGTTTCTTAATGGTAGAGCTCCTCTGGGTTTAATCTCTAGTACTGGAGAAAAGAAAAGAAAAATTATCAGGGTATGGTTGGGTGTAAGGGCATGAGAAAGCCCAGAGCAGGATCCTGGTATAAGCAACAGCAATAGAGATTTTTGTCACTCCTAGGCTCTCAGGAACAAGAAAGGGAGCGCCTTGGAGAGAAGGGGCCTGTGGAGTTGCAAACACAGCCAGGCATGGTAGCACTCACCTGTAATCCCAGTGATGTGGAGGCTAAAGCAGGAGCATCAGGAATTCAAGGTGGGTTGGCGGGGGCATAGGCACTAGGAATATAACAGATATAAAGCACACCTGGGTTCTAGTCTCAGCACCATAAATAAATATCAATAAAATGAAAACAACTCTGAAGTCAAATGACTCAAATATAAATTAAAAACAAAGATAATGCATAAACAAGTAAATAATAATCTAAAAATTAATTATCAGAATAAAATTCTTAGGCATAAAAGATCAGTAAAAACAAAGTAACACAGAGATGAAATAGTTTTAAAAGATGCATATAATCAAAAATAACTTTAAAGCTAACTGAATCAGAAAGCACACACCATTTAAAGGGAATAAATAGATTTTGGTGAAACAGTGGCAGCAATTCCCTCTGAGCTGTTATATAGTTCCCCCTCTGCTGAGGGGCAGACTCAAGGCAGGACACAGTTGCAGGATTTCTGTTCTCGCATCTAAAAGGCTCAGGGGTTACTCCAGTTGAACTGGGCTAACTGGGCTGCACAAAATAACCACATGAGAGACACAAATACCCTTTTCTTTGGGGTTGCTGTGATGGCTCCTCTGACCTTAAGGGTCTGCAGAAAGAGGAGAGAGGGAGAGCATGTGCTGACCCCTTTATTGAGAAGAAGCTATTCAAATGAGGCAAAAGGGGTCAGGTTTCAGGGGGCTGAGTCTATCTTCATGATGTCCACTGTCAGCAAGTTCACTGACACCTGGGTAGGCCACACCCAAGGGCACAGTAAGAGAAGGGGACACACACAAGGCACTTCCATGGAAGATTCTATCCTTAACAGGAAAAGGAGTTATATTACAAAGGAACAGGTGAGCATAGCTTCACCCATTGGGCTGTAGCAAGACATACCCATGCACGAGACACTGACCCTCGAACCCAAGAAGGGTGGGGAAAGCTCTGCCACATTTCTGCAGCTGAGCACCTCAACACCCAGCCGGGGAGTGTGACTCAGTCACGTGTAAGGTTGGTCTCCCACACACAGTCACAGTAGTGGTCATGAGAGAAGAGACCTTAAGAAAGTAGGGAGAAACATAGAGCCAGGAAATCTTCAGAAAAGAAACCAATTGTGTGTTTTAGCATTTCACAGGAGAGAAGGCAGTCCATGCAAAGTTAGAAAAATTACATAAATCATATTCTCTCTATGAGTTCAAGAAAATAAATATCATGTAAAAAAAATTAGCCCAGTACAGTGGGGCACACATGTAATCCTAGACTCAGGAGGCTGAAGCAGGAGGATTACAAGTTTGAGGCCAGCATGGGTGACAAAATAAAACAGTAAAAAGGGCTGTAACTGTAGCTCAGGAGTGTCCTTGGGGTCAATCCCCAGTACCTAAAAGAGAAAAAAAATTATTGGTTTTACCATAACCAAAATTATTGGTTTTACCATAATGAAATGATAATTGCTTTAGGAGATGAATATGCTTCTCCTGGTTTAAAAGTGACATTATCCAGTGTATATATGCATTGAAACATCATTTTACCCCATTATGTGTACAATTTTATGTTTTTATATCCCAGTTAAAAGATGAATTTAATTACTAGGCAAAAATTCATCAACTAATTAAGTAAAATTTACCCAAAGAGTGAAAAAGGAAAAAATTTAATGCAGAACAATGGTGGGGGGGAGGGGAGGAATAACTGCAGAATAACACCATTGCAGAAAATGAAAGCACTTCTTCTCAATACACTTTGTGTACTACAATGTATTTCTTTCAAAAACAAGGTGTAAGGCATTAAGAAACGATAGAAACCAGGTGCTTTAATTCCAATGACGTGGGAGGCTGAGGCAGGAGGATTGCCGGTTCAAGGCTAGCCTCGGCAACTTAACAAGAACCTGTCTCAAAACAAAAATAAAAATACTGGGAGTGTAGCTCAGTGATAGAGTCTGCTAGGTTAAACCCTTATTACCTTAAAAAAAATATTGAGAGAAAGAAGAAAAGAATGTGTAAGATATTAACTGACATCATCGACCAATTAGAAAAACTTAGGGAAAAAGTGAAAACTGAGTCATGAATAAGAAACATTTGAAGGATTACTTCAGAGAGCTGGTATGTTAGGATACTAACTTAGCATAGAGGAAGCTCCGGGTTCCTTCCCTTGCATGGTATAGGAGAGGGGAAGAATTGAAAATGAAGAAAAATTACTCCATAAATGAATTGCATATTAAAGGAAACTAAGGGACAAGGGGTGCTTTATGAGAAACAGAAGGTGGAAAAGAAGAAAATATTTTTTTAAAAAATTAAGCAAGAGGCTATAAAGTTTTGAGAGGAAATGTCAAAACTTATAGATAAGCACAGATGAGAAAGACAAAAACAAAGCAAAGACACAAAGAGTTTGAATGTCCCCCAAAAGCCCACGCATGAGAGAATGCAAGAAGGCTTAGAGGTGAAATGATTGGGTTTATGAGAGCCTTGACCCAATCAGTGACTTAATCCCTGATGGGATTAACTGAGTGGTGACTGAAGGTGGGGAGGGTGTGGCTGGAGGAGGTGGGTCATTGGGGGCCTGCCTTGGAGGGATACGTTTTGCATCTGGCAAGTGGAGTCTCTCTCTCTCTCTCTCCCCTGCCCAATCATCATGTGAGCCTCTTCCCTCTACCACACTCTTCCACCCTGATGTTCTGCCTCATCTTGAGCCCCAAGGAATGAAGCCGGTTGTCTATGGACTGAGCCCTCTGAAACCCTGAGTCGCCACATAAACTTTTCCTCCTCTGATATTGTTCTTGTGAGGCCTTTCAGTCACAGCAGCAAAAAAAAAAAAGCTGACTGAAACAACACGGGAGCAGCAATGGGGACACAGAAGGTATCGGCTTTCTCATTCCCCTCCCATCGACTCCACACCCATGTCTCTCTGGTTTTCTTCCTCATCAGCTTTTACTTACTGGATCCCTTCTCTTAAGTTTATTCTATTATTTTTTTTTAGAGTATTTTATTTATTTATTTATTTTTTTAATTTTTATTGTTGGTTGTTCAAAACATTACATAGTTCTTTGCCGCAGTCTGGCTGGGCACAAAATCACGAGCCACTCAAGCAGGAACAAAGTTTATTTTTTGAAACTGCCGCCAATGTCCAGTACCGCAGGGGAAGATTTTTTTTCCACCCACGCGGCCTACGCGGCCTCCTCCCGGACCCGCAGAGAGCGCTCCTCCCCCGGAACTCCCTCCTACTGTACTTCCCCAACCAATGGGAACTCTCCAGGAGTCCCGTAGCGGGCCTAGGTGAACAGCAGGAATCCAATATCCATATGAATGCAAATCTTAACATAATCATATCATCTCAATGGCTAGCTGGCGTCACCTTTCGACCAAAAATGCCATGCATCAAATACTTGGCTCTTAGCAGTTCTTGATATATCATATTTCACACTTTGATTCAAGTGGGTTATGAACTCCCATTT